TTACTGCAATTCGTTTCTAATATTCCAGATTTTAATATTTTCAGTTTTAAGGATCATCATTCCAAGTTTTGATTATCTAGATAAAGTTAACACTAATTAATATTTCAGTACTTGTTTACGCAATCCCTTTGGTACGATAACCTGTATTTTGTTATACTATATTACTTGAGACTAGTGCACTTGCTAGTAGTTGTTGCAAACAATACAACAGTTTTCTATTATATATTATGTAATAGGGAGAAACTTGAAGTGATCAAAATAGAGAGTGAGAGTGAGCTGTCGTCATTATTCATTGTAATCGCTGTAGAGTTCTTAAGCTTAATCAAAGTTTTCTATTTGAATACTGGACGTAATTCCTTAATCGGAATAAACTAGGGTAAATCAAGTGTCCTATTTATTTTTATGTTTTCTTTTATTGTGTGTGTTTGGCTGTGGTTTCAACATAAGTTGAGTGGTGTATAACACCGACTTGAGAGGAAGTTTATCGGCGGTGGAGGCTTGCCAATTGATGATGGCGCACAAGGGGTGGAACAACCCGGTGGAAGAACGGGGTTTTAGGGTCTTTATTTTATTATTTTTTGAACTTCTATTTATTTTTGTTAATTTTATTTTTATAATGTTTGTAATATGTGAAGACAAAAATGACCTTATAATGTTTAATCGATGAGGTGTGCCTGGGTCTCCCAAGATTCCGATACTAATAATATGGTCCTTCTCTCAAGTTATGTAGGGTAATGCATTTATGCATAGGCAACAAAAAAATACAAGTGATCAATCCTCATAACACATTTGTCCATTGTAATATCAATAAAGATTAGCTTACAACTCAATCTTATAAACTCTCTCTCACAACTCTGACATGACAGCTCACAGTTGGTTAGCAAGAAAAATTTATCAAAAACCAATTGCGAGTTAAAACAAATAGTGATTGTTATTTCTAATAATTTTGAGATTCTTACACTTCATGAAATCAATTTAAAATATGTGCAATTAAGATATATCATAATTAATTACATCAAAAAGATATGCAAGTTATACATAATCTTAGAGACTTTTGAGTTATGTATAAAGATAATGTAGTTTGTATTGCTCATATATTAGACAAAAATATATTTAACCAAAATTCTTGCATACTTATGAACTGAAATAGTGTTAAAATATTAATGTCAAGTTAAATATATTTTTTTTTATGACTGGTGTGTTCGGGTCAATTTGCGCACATCTCAATTAATCTCTATGACATATTGAACGCTCTACAAGTCTAATGTTCTAAGTACGCCACAAATGTAGTAGGTGACCCCAAGGTGGTTTGAACCCAAAAAGTCAATAAAGTGAGTAAACCTTCTTGACTGTTAGGCTAACCCCTTAGGGTTGTCGAGTTAGATATTCTCTGATGACAATCTTAAAAATCTATTTATTAAAACTTATCAAAGAGAAAGTTTTAAAGAGAGCTATAATTAGAGGTGGAAAAAAGGGGCCAGGTTAGGCGGGTCAACCTAACTACCTAGCCTACCTCAACCCGGGACCCACCTAACTTAGCTTAAAGGCAAGTCGGGTTCAACCCAGCGCGGGTATCTCCCACCGGGAGGGCTAGACCTTCATAGGCCAACCCGGTCATCCAACGAGTCATTTTTTTTTTTTAAATAACCCGTCCAAACTGCTAGGTTAACCCGACGGGTTGGCCGTTGGCAACTTGGGTATCTCACGTCGAGTTGACCTGGTGGGTTGGATGGGTTGACCTGCGGGTTGGATGAAAAAAATTAAAAAATAATTTTTATTTTATTTTTATTGCAAAAACTCATTTTACCCTTCAAATATAGTCATTTATAGCAGTTTGAGGGGTCTTTTTGGTCTTTTTTTTTCCCATTTTCTCTATAAATAGGGCCTAAACTTCTCATATTTCCTCACATCCCAAATTCTCTCATTTTCTCTATAAAAATCTCTCAATCTCTTTGTTGTCAGTTTGCTCTCATTTTAATTTTTATTGGTTTTTGCAAATTTCAATTCATATTTCCAAATTCTAATTCTCCTTCTTTAATTCTTTTATATCCAATTTTTTTTTTTTTTAATTAGAATGGATGGATATTTCCATCCCACCATCAATTTCGATGATGAAGAAAATTATCTTAGTCCCCTTAAATTTACTAACATAAATGCAATAGATTCAAACTGTCTCGCTTTCCCATTCTCAGAATCCGATACACCTCATAATATTCTCCCCCTTCCTTCCCATGCTGCTACAACTCTTGGTGGTTCTAAACGTCGTCCTCGTCCAACTCCATTTCAAGTAGAAGTGGGTTCATCAACTGCAGTCAAAACCAAGACAAGCACAAATCAGACGTTTGGGTGCATTTCGATAAGTTTTACAAGACAGAAAATTAAGTTCAAGTGAAGAAAGCAAGATGCAAGTATTATGAAAATATTTATAAAGCTTACGCAGATAATGGTACTAGTACTTTAAAAATGCATGCTAGTAAACATATAAATCATCATGAAAATAGAGAAACCAATCAAACTCAAATAACTAGTATGGGTAATACTTGACATTATAATTCTGACATATATAGGGAACAATTAGATTTATATATTGTTGCAACTAATCAACCTATTAATATGACTGAAGATAAATATTTTAAATGATTTATTAAAAATTCATTTTTCCATAATTTAAAACTTATTCTAAAACTTCAATTAGGAATGATTTAATAAAATTGTTTGGGAAAATAAAATTAGAATTAGGAAATAAATTACATAGTTGTTATGTTAATGTGGCTCTAACCACTGATATTTTAAGTGGTAGAGCTAAACAAGATTATATTTGTGTGACTAGTCATTATTTTGATAACGAATATAAATTAAATAGATATTTATTGAATTTAGATTAATGGATGCAGATCATAGTAGTCAACAAATTTATAATAAAATTGTTCAAGTTTTAGAAGATTATGATATTGTTCACAAAGTGATAAGTTTAACTTTAGACAATGCAAGTGCTAACAATAGAGCTATAGATTTTTTTTAAAATAAATTTTCCTTTTTATGACAATTTGAAGTTTTTTTACTAACGTTGTGCATGTCACATTATTAATTTAATTGTAAAAAGTGGTATAAAAATAATTAGAAATAATATTAATAGAATTAAATATTCTTTAGCTTGGATTACTAGTAGTAATAGAAGAAATGTTGAATTTCAAGATACTTGTAAAAAGTCAAATTTTCTCCTAGAACTTTTGCATTAGACATGCCTGTTAGGTGGAATAATACTTATTTAATACTTGATTCATGTTTACTTTACGCAAATTCAATTAGTTATTTTGTAGCAAATAATAGAGGTCCTCATTATTTGATAGAGAGTGATTGACATATAGTTAAAAAATTTCATTTTTTTCTTAAAATCATTTATCTTTCCACTTTAAAACTTTCTAGTGTGTATTATCCTACTGATCCATTGGTAATACATACAATTATAAAAATCTCAGATTTATTTGCTCGAAACAGAAACAATAAAATTTTTGGAGAACCAATAGAGGCAATGAAATTAAAATTTAAAAAATATTGGAAACCCATTCATTTTCTTTTTTTGTTTAGCTGTCATATTTGATCCTAAGATTAAATTAGCGGGTTTAGAAAATGGTTTAGACACGTTAAGTGAAAATTTACAAAACGAAGTGTATGCCAATCAACTAGGAGAGATAAGATAGTGTCTTGGAGAGGTATTTCTGCAATATGAAAACATGTATGGGAACCAGCAAAGAGGCGCAATACCCGAGGAAGTAACATCAGAAGACACAAATGAAGACTTTGACTCCTGGAGTACACTTAATAGGTCGAACCCAAACCCGAACCCGAAGAACAACCTCCACTTCAAAAGCATCAACAACAAATATAATGTCCACCGTGCAACTGCAGAGTAATGAGTTTCACCAATATCTGAGAACCCTTGACTTGCTACCATGCTACTAGAAAATCCACAACAAAGAACCAATTTTGATGTCTTAGAATATTGGAAAACTAGAAGATGAATTTTTCCTGTATTATCAAAACTTGCCCTAGATGTTTTCTCTGTTCTTGTCTCAACCGTCTCATCCAAACAAACATTTAGTACAAGTAGAAGAATTTTAAATGAAAGGGGGACTAAACTTTCACCAAAATTAATTAAAGTCCTCATATGTCTTCGAGATTGAGAATAGTCGTGCCATCAAGATCAATACGAGGTTGTCGATGATATTTTAATAGAATTATTTCAATTTTATAATTTATGATACATATGAGGGGGATCCTAGTCAACCCTCAAATAGTTATTTTGTAAATTGTAACTTTGTAATTTGTAAATTAACTGTCAATTATTACATTCTTTTTTTCTTACCAAGTTTTTGTCCCAATTGAGTTTTTCTTTGTAAGGTTTTTAATGAGACAATAATTGTTTTAATTTCTTATTTCTTATTTTATTGTTTGATAAATGAATAAATCTAATTTTTCTTATATTATAATTTAATTGTATTAAAATTGAATTAACATTTGAAATGATAACTAAAAAAAAAAAATTTAATTGAATTGATATTTAAAAAGTTGACTAAAAAAAATTACACAAAAGAAAAAAAAAATTCTGAGTAGGGCTCACCCTTGTAGACAAAGAGGCAGGCTAGGTTAGGCCTGTCCGTAATTTGGCCTAACCCGCCACGGTCGGGCCGGGCAGGTCATTTTTCCACCTCTAGCTATAATATTGGAATATGTATATTATACTTTAGTGAAATTCAATGTAATTGCCTGTCCAAGTTTCTTTCAAATTTTATCAATCTTGGTTTAGTAGCTTAGTGGTTGTATTTTCATTTAATATTATTCTTAATTCTTTAAAATATTTGAAATATTTCCCATTTTTCTAATCTAGTGTAGCATAGCATAATTTAGCAACCAAACACTCCCCATGTACAAAACAGTCAGAAGAAAACAAATTAAAAAACGGGAACCCAGAAAAACGGATCGGTTCTCAGCGTGTAATACTTAGGTTTCAAGTTTCTTAAACAGAGCATCAAGAAACGCCGGGTTTCGCAGAACACCATACATTACAAGTTTACAACTGACTTCAGAAACCCACCTTCAGGTACTTAAATTAATCGCTTTTAACTCCTTTTTCTTCTTCTTCAAAGCATAACTTCTCCTTTATTTTTCTTGTTCTAGTTTATTAATCTTAGTTGATGTACTTGGAAATTACGTTTGAATCAGTAAAGGTTTACCAAAAAAGTAAAGGGCATTTTTGATAGAATATACTGTGTTCTGTTTGTGAAGACTTAATTAGAAATTTGAAAATTCTTAGCGGTTTTGGATTCATAAACCCACAGTTGCCTATTTTGGGGTTTTAGGGTTTATGGGGTCTTAGTTTCGAACTCGACTTCGCCTAAAAAAATAGTTGGAATTTAGGTTGTAGTTATGAATAATTATGAGAAATAATAATATAAGCTCTGTAACAATTCCTTAATGGTTAAATTATGTATCAATTGAAGAGAAGATGAGGAGGGTTTTCTATGTTTGATTGTTCTTGTGAATCAGAAATTTAATGAATACGAAATACTGAGAAATTTGTTTCAACTATCTACCATCTATTTTGTGAGAACAAACATGTTTCTCTGGGATATAAAGGAGGGTATGTTACTTGTTGACTTTGTCTAACAATGGACGGCGAGACTGGAAGTGCTTTGTGATTTGTGGCACTTGTGCAGCGAAACATGAAGTGCTTTGTGATTTGTGGCACTTGTGCAGCGAAACATGAAGTGCCACAAATCATGAATTTTGGAAAAGAGAAGGTGACACTCACATCCCGGTACAATTACATTGACTTTTGTGGGCTGCACTAACATAAACAGATGCTACCATGCGGGAAAGAATGTTTCTTTGATAACAGCCTCTGTCCAGACTGGAGATTGTAACTCACTGACCACATGATTTTCTCCTATGTTAATTATGCTTTTGCTTTTTCCTGCACTTCTTAACCTTAAAATTGAAAATTTCTATGTATGTGATAGTTGTAATTTAATGTTATTTCATTAAGTTAGTGTACTGAAAAAGAGGAGAAGGATAAAAGAAGGGAAAGTAATACAGCCACCGACAGTAGTGCACCGAATTTGTGCACCGAATGACGTGACAAAATCCTGACCGTTGATTAATTTTAATATTAATCAACGGTCAGGATTTTGTCACGTCATTCGGTGCACAAATTCGGTGCACTACCGTCGGTGACTGTAGCATTACTCTAAAAGAAGTTACTTGACTGCCCTTCTTTCTCCAGATTTTGCTTGTATTACTTGTTGAATCAACTGTAGTGGATTTAAGATGATTAAGACTGCATCATAAGATGGTACGGTTATAAGGAGTAGTGTTCTGTTTGAAATAATGTTTTTTCATTATTACTTGAGCTATTTCTACTGAGCATGCTCCATAACTGTGTGCTTCCTATGAGTTTATTTTATTTTATGTAGAAACTGAAGATGGCATTTTGACAATTTTTATCATTGTTCCCTATTGTTTAAGTTTTGTTTCTCTATGTGAGACACTGGATGCCATTGCAATGGTTTTTAGAGACTCAGAATCTGATGTTGCAACAATGCTTGGCTAAAGAAGAAGTATTTTGGTTCACTCAATCAAACATTTATGTGCAGTAATTTGGTACATTGGCATAGTAAAAACAAAATGTAGTTCTTACCCAAGGTAGAATACAGTGCTTTTTTCTCATATAGCTTTTACAATGTTAAGGTTGTAGTCTCTACTCCATGAACAGATGTAGAGGTTCCTTATCCTATGAAGATGAATTGGGATTTGGTTACTATATTTTATCGCTGGTGATTCACTTTTCATGAGCATATTGAACACATATATAATAGTTGATTTTCATTTCATCCATGATATTGTGAGAAAGTAGATTGTCATTCCATATAAAGAAAGAAGTTCAGTTGAGAGATTTTCGCGAAGCCTCTCTTACTTCCTTTACAATTTTTAGCTCACCTTTTATTGCTATATTCCAACTTGAGGAAGAGTGGAGTTTTTCTTCTTCTTTGATATTGATATTGTATTATATGGGCATTGGCCCCATGGAGTCTGTACTATCTATTGTAACTGGTGTATGAATTAGGATTGTATATAATGTGTTTTAATAAATAAATATATAGTAAGGAGTATCATATGACACGGTAAGTTTACATTGCACAATAAATATACTTTTCTCAAAATTTAGGAGAACTATTTGGGAAAGTTTTTCTTGGCGTGGTGGCTTTGCATCAGAGAACAGGAATTCAACTCCAAGAATATCTCTTCTTGTTTTCTCTACTCTGTCTTCATTTACATGCAGCTAATGTTACATAAATTTTCAAAAGAAGTGACTTTTTAATATTGGAGCTTTTAAATACTTGTTATATAGTTCCTATCTGAATATAGTGGTTTACTTTGATGGATATTTATAGTGACAGATTTCTGCTGCTCTTTTTCACTATTCATTTATTTATTGGGCTTTTATTTTTAAATAGCACTCAGGCTTTGGATAATGCCATCAGAATCTGATAAGTGGGGATGGGAACATGTTAGTGTGTTTGGTGGGTTTGACAGGGGAAGTGGTACAAAGAGGTGGAAATGCAACCACTGCAATCTAAGATATAATGGATCTTATTCACGTGTTAGAGCCCACCTTCTTGGGTTCTCAGGTGTTGGAGTCAAAAGCTGTCCAGCAATAGACAGGTCTCTGAGAGAAGCATTCCAGATCCTAGAGGAGGAGCGCCTTGCTCGGAAAAAGAAAAGGATTTCTGGGAATGGAAAGCCTGGTAAGCGCATCCGGACATCACAGTCAACCCTTACAGTGAAAAACATCTCCAAAGAAGATGTGGATGACATGATAGCTAGGTTTTTCTATGCTGATGGACTGAATGTAAATGTTATTAACTCTCCATATTTTCTTGAAATGCTGAAAGCAATATCTGCTTTTGGCCCAGGGTATGAACTTCCATCTATAGATAAGTTTTCCGATTCCTTTTTAAGTAAAGAGAAAGAAAGGATTGAGAAATTCATGGCTTCAATTAGGGAGTCTTGGCCTCACACTGGATGTTCAATGCTCTGTATCAGTCGCTTAGATAGCACACTAGGCTACTTCCACATTAGTATTTTTGTCTCAAGTCCTAGGGGACTCATATTCTTAAAAGCAGTCGATATAGATGATACTGACGAGACAGAGAATTTGTTCGCTAGTGTTCTTATTGATGCAATTTTAGAAGTTGGGCCCACAAATGTACTTCAAATAATCTCACATCTAGGCCATCCCTGTAAATCTTCTGAATCTCTTGTACTGTCAAAGTTCCCTCACATTTTTTGGTCTCCTTGTACTTCACATTCTATTCACATGTTGATGGAAGAAATAGCAGGCTTGGAGTGGATAAAATCTATTGTTTCGTGTGCTAAGGAGATTGAGCAACTCATGATGTATTACCAGCATGCTTATCCAGGTCTTTTTACTCATAATCTGAAAGAGAGTTCTGACCCTCTTTCTGCCAAGTTTGCACCTTCATACTGCTTCATTCAGAGGATTTTTGAGCTAAAGCAGGTACTTCAAGAGGCAGTTGTTAGTGAAGAGTTTAAGCAATGGAAGCTTAATATGCAAGGAGACAATGTAATTGTTGAATCTGCCATTTTAGGTGATGATTTCTGGTGCAAGGTTCATTTGTTCTTACAGTTATGTGAGCCTTTTGTAAGATTACTTGCTACATTTGATATCGACAAATCTCCTATGGGAATTGTACATGAATGGCGGGTTCAGGCACTTGAAGCCGTAAGAACTAGGGGAATCGATTCCACTGCATTGAATCAGTTGGAAGTCCTGATAGAAAATAGATGGGACTTGTTATTTTCCCCTCTTCATGCTGTAGCTTATATGCTAAACCCTAGATATTTTGGAAGAGGTCAAAGCAAGGATAAAACTCTAATGCGGGGTTGGAAAGCCACTCTCGAAAGATATGAGTGTGATAGTTCAGCCAGACGGATTCTTAGAGAGCAGCTCAGCTCTTACTGGCGACTAGAGGGATCCTTAGGAGAGGAAGATGCTGTGGAATTTAGAGATAAAATGGAACCAGTTGCATGGTGGGAGAACTTTGGTTTTGAAACACAGCAATTGCAGACACTAGCAATAAAGGTTCTCAGTCAGGTTTCAAGTGTTGCAATGTGTCAAGAAATTTGGCAAGAAAATGACTTCCCATGTCGAGAAACAGCTAATAGGTTGGGTGTGGATAGAGTCGAAGATCTTGTTTTCGTTAGAAACAACCTCAGACTTCATAGCCAAAGATACGGGAATTCAAGTTCCCCGTCTGGGCAAAGAAATGCAAATCTAAGTTACCCATCTGGAGTTAAGTCATGCGATAGTGTCCATCTTGATCAAACAATGTCAGTTGTAAATATCCATGATGGATTGTGAAAAAAAAATTGTACCATTTATCTGTCCTTCCTGTATTTACTGAAAGCAGAACTCTGGGCTGTTGTAATGTAGATGTTTGTCTAAGATCAAGTTTTAGAAGTGATTAGATCTCAATTTGTGAATATTCAGAAGTATGATTTATAGTTGCTATCTTTACCAAAATTTCTGGTTTCTTTGACAGTTCATTTGTGTTTTGAAACCCAATCCTTGCTCTCTAAGCATCATAACATCATATTATTTATCCTCATAATTATTGAATGGTTTGGTTTTTAAACTTGATGATACAAGGAAAAGATATAAAAATGAAAGAAACAGGAAACCCTTGATGAGATGTATAATTTAACAGGCTAGAGTTTTATTTGTTTATTTAATTTTAAGAGGGAATAGATAGTGTAAAGCTTTGTAGGGCATGGGAAAGATGTTAAATTGGAGATGGTGGTACATTTATTTATTGCAGTGTCTTTGTTTTAAATGGGTTTGCAATCATATACAGCTGTGATTTTAAGTCTCTTTACTGGAGGAGCAATATTAAAATGTGTTATCTAGAGTCAATAGGCCTAAACCCAAATTATGAATGTAGATGAGGATTTGAGGTTGAGCCTAACTGCGCTTTTTTTTTTTTTTTTTTTTTTTTTTTTTTTTTTTTTTTTTTTTAATGACCAAATGGGTCAACTTGCGCACACTTAAACTAATTTCATAGGGCCTTAAAATTGACGACCAGAAAAGCCCCTAAGTGATCATCCCTATTAGGGACTCGAACTTATGAGCTTATAGAACCTCATTTTACTCTTTCACTATCAGGCTATCTAGTGGTGGTTAGCCTAACTATTCTTTGCTATCATCTTGTATTTATGAAAATCAATTTCCAGATGATAATAGGTTAAATGAAGCTCAAAATTATTGAGATACCAGAAGATAATATGAAAGTCTTATTGGTATTTCTAAAAATATAAGGTTGTTATTAAGATTAACCCAAATCACATCAGATGAGATATATCCGCTTATTTTTTCAAACATTAGTATCATTCATGTTTTCATTGTTTTTATTCGGAAACAACAATTTTCAGAGTATAATCCCAAAAACAATTGAAATAATTTTGAAATAATTTTAATCTACCCCATATTTGGAATGATTTTATTGAAAAAAAATAAGGAATTTGTTAGTGGAAAACCTTGAATAGTGAGGGCCAGGATCATTTTCAAAGATCAAAGTGGGGTATTCTCTGACCCATTTTATGATTTTATGCTCCTTCAATCCATGCCAATTAAGAGAACAACACAACGCAAATCTCTCCCAGCAATTTAGTAGCTTAATGTGATGTGAGTAGTGACGTGGGGTTTAGCACATGTGTATTCAAATTTGTCTACAAAATGAAATTTGTCGGTCCAATTAAATATTTAAATTTGCTTTTACTTTCTCCAGCTTTGTCTGTTTTATAAAAGTTTGTGATTTTGGCATATTTGATTAATTTTTTATTCTACATGATATTTAATTTGGTAGAAATTCAACTGTGAAAAGAGATCATTATGTACAAATGAGATAATTAATTAATTGGTGAACTTAATTAGCATAAATCATGGTGCCAAAATTATAGAGGATATGGAGTTGTTAATTAATTATTATAGAGGATAAGACATCTACTTTACTTTGTATTTAAGAAAACTTAAATTAATTAAAGGGAGTATCAAACTGTAGATGGTCAAGCTCTTTGAAAAACAAAAAATGGAAGAGACCTGAAAAGTGGGTGAATAAAGGAACAAAAGCAGTAAAGATATGCATACCTTGAGCAACATAAAATAAATTAGTATTTAAGAGTTTAATTAAGACGTAATTACTTCCCAATTAGACCCTACACTACAACGATAAAAAAGAAAAAAGAAAAGAAAATGAAGATGAAATATTAATAAACCACATAAAGTGAAAATGGGAGCAAAAGGAAACAACATGCAAGTAAAACAAGAAATTAAATGATAATTATAACAATAAAAAAAAAAAATCAAAACATAAGAAATAGTTGGGTTTTTTATTTTTTTTATTTATCATTAGGGGTGTTCATGTTAGATTGTGCACACCTCAACTAATCCATCAAGACCTTATAATTATCAGTCGGGTAAGAGATCTAGTGGTTACCTTTATTAGTACTTGGAGGGACTCGAACTTATAAACTTATTACACTTTTTTGGTTGGACTCAAAGAATAAATAACTCGATATAAAATGAGCAGTAGATAGTATATGCTTGATGATGTACAAAGAAAGCTTAAGTATAATAAATTTGTATAGATTTATAGAGCTGTTAGTTGTTCATTTTATATGGAAATATTATCTAAAACTATGATGATCTATGTAAATAGTTGGAGGAGGGTAGCTTACCGGTTTCTTTAATTGTCCTAATCCTAAATTATGAGATTCTTAGATGTTTAATTTGTGCCACATATAGTTAAAGACTCCTCTCTCATGCCTCGTAGGTTAACTACACAATGGCTTAGTTAATTAACTAATTAATCAAATGTCAGCATGCAGTATATACATATAAAAACGTTTAAAGTTTATATATATACTAGTTATTGGAATACAATGATAGTTTAACAACACAATAAACGTTATTAATTTCATTAACAATGACACTATAACTATATCAATTTTAATACTACTGCACCACTGCATGCAACTGATAGATTCTCAGATTTTTGTTCCACGTAAAAGACAATCCATCTATTATTCCTTAATTAAATCCTCCTAGGTTCGACGTTGAATATTGTAATTGATTCATGTTATAGAGATTTAGGGCTGCCCAGAAAAATTAATCAAGAAAAAGAAAAAAGAAAAAAAAAGGAATTTGTGCCGTTGCTTTGTCGCTCACTTTGTAGTTTCCGTTAGCACGGGAAAAATTAATACAGTATATCCTAATTCTGCTAATAAACTGTTGGTAATTAAGGGTAAATACTAATTAATTAATGAAGTTAATTCGATGTAAGATTTGAGGAAGACAAAATAAAGGAGAAGCACAATGCTAAATCTAAGCATTGTACTTGAAAAATAATTTTATTTTTAAAAAGTACATCAATGAATTGATTCTATTTGCAGATCCAAATAGTTTTTGGTTTTTGTCAGTCTAAAAAGAAATATGATACCTAATCTGAACCGAGGATCCAATAACAGATTTATAAACTATAGAGATTCTTGGATGTATTATCCAAGAGATTTTAAACTCGAGTCCCTTCTCGATTGTTAATAGGGGTAGTTACTAAAACTCTTACCCAGCCGGTAATTCCAAAGTCCCAGAGGATTAGTTGAGGTACGTGTTGAAGATGCTAAAATCTACGGTTGTGGAAGTAGAGTCTGATCTCGTGAGATTAAGGCCACTGGTAATCCGCTACATCTGCACACAAAGCAAACAAGCATGAAACTTACTTGGACCTTGGTGTGGTGTGTGCCATAGGCACTGTGACGCTCAAGTTAGTAAGACTGAATGAGACAATTTAGTGAGGGTAAGGGAATGAAGGGTTACCAGAGGTCAAGTCGGGAACTAGAACCACGGCGTAGTAGTATAGCTCATAGGAGTAAGAGCTTGGGTACTAGTAGGTGATGTTGAGGCTGAATGATTAAACAGAGGAGTAACCTCTGTTTACACAGTAGTTATAGGGTCTTTGTATCCTGATAGGACTCTAAATCCTTAAGGGAAGAGGTCTCATGAATAGGAAAAATCCTGATTCACTTGACTTAATAGTGACAAGAGTCCAAATTTGCCTATGATACGGAATCTTGGGCGAATTAGGATTGAACAAAACAAGAAGAATGCCACTTACCTTGGTTTAGAAGACCTGGCCTTAGATGTGTCGTTGTTGTCGCCCATTTCGAAAGAAGGCTGGATTTGGGGGTCGCGACTTGGCCCAAGTCATGAGCTCCGATGTTGACCCAATCAAAATTGGATCATAAGCTTGGGTCACTGTGATGAAACATGTTTGTTTGGGCCTGATAAGGCCCTTGATGATTTTGATCCCCACACGTGTAAACTGGTCCGAACACTCTCAGTGATAAAAAAAATAATAATAATATGTATATTAATCAGTTGAAGAAATATATATCAAAATTCAAGATTGAAAATTAGATATTTGTAGAATAATTAACCTCTTTAACCTGTTAAAAAGAAATGAAGAATCATGCATATTGTTAGGGCCAAAAAATGTACTCGACCCAAATAGGCCCAAAGACGAAGACACCTTCAACAAAGCTGAAAGCTAGGGCCCAATTCCAATTGGGCCCACAACAGAGTTTTGTAGATCAGATCCACTCGATACGCCTACCCAGTTGCTCACCATTTGACCCAATCAGGAGAGGCCCGATTTGTTTAGACCTCACTGCCAGTTTATCTGAGCCCAGGCCCTCTGATCCTAGAACACCTTCTGGACTTATGATCTACTTGGGGCCTAGGGTTGCCTTCGTACTCCAGTACTGTTCGAACTCTACTAAAGAGGTCCATCACTACCCTAATTCATCTAAGATCCGTATCCTGGACACGTTGGGACTCCCTTTCCTACTGAGGTAAGGGAGCCAAAGGCTCCACTCTTTCACAAAACCACAACTCCAAGGACTCCCAGTCCCACCAGGATTCGAAGACGCTACTATCGCTATTTAAACAAAGGCTAGCCCTCTCACAAAGGACGAACACATTACACCTTCAGACTCGGAGTTCCCACTCTTGAGAACTTCGCACTACAGCCGCAGTTATAGTCTCCGACTAGACTTCCGATAACCTTTTCTCTCCCTATCCCTCACTAAACTAGTATCACTCAGCCTTGTTGATTTGAGCGTCGGAGTGCCTCCAGCAAATACCAACCCGGTGTTTTCTGTCCGCTTCACGCTTGTTTTCTTGCGTGTGCTGGTGCAACAAAGTGTTAGTAGCCTCAACCTTACGGGATTAATCCCTACTTTCGTAAAGGTAGATTTTTGCATCTACACATATATTAAGGTGTCTCTCATGATTGGTGCATGCGCGCGTGTGTGTATATATATATACACTAAAAACATCGTAGCCAAGTTATTTATGATCTCAACAGACTGACATGAAATTTATTAGGAATTAAATTGAACCCAATAATTTGTGACCTGTGACATAATGGAGCACAACAAACTTTCAATAAGAAAAATAAAAATTTATTCATCCTTCATATCTGTAATTCTCACCTTGAAATATTGTTAGTAAATTAATACACGTTTTTCTTCTTTATAATTATTTAGAAACCCTACATAGCTAAAATGGAGAGAATACATTGATTCATAACTCAAAAAGGATTGTCGGCAAGAGTCTTTGTTTTCTCCAGTGTTCTCTTTCTCTCTCGGCCAAACTTTTCATGCATTATGACTCCATGATCCGTGACAAAATTTGTATTAGTGCTTCTTTTTCGTAAGAATTTAACATAAAGCGAGTGGCTGGCTGCTGCTTACTTTGACCACAAAACTTTAATTTGCTTTTGGGACAAAAGGTTTCTCCATTACTGTTTTATAATATTAGGGTTAGTGATAGTGAAGACATCAAATAAGAAACAAAGATAAAGAAACAATTACAAGGAGGACATCTGGAAGAATCAAACATCCATGGTCGTCGTCATAACGTAAAAATATATATAATATAGTGTTCGTTGAGAGAAAGACGTCTTGACTTGCTTCGAAAACGAAAGGTCAATTCATGCATGTTGTTACAGTTTGCCTATTTATGTATCTTCATTTTTAGCTTTTGTTTAACTAGGGTTTATCATTCTTTCTCAAGGAAAATATCACCTGAACTCCTTCAATTCTGGCTAATATCAAAGATATGCACAAACTAATTTCTAGATAAAATTTGAGAACATCCCTTTAATTTTTGAAGGCTAACACGTTCCTACGCAAACACGGTGTGGGCAAAGAGGAAAATTGCGTAAGTAAGCTCTTAAAAATGGGAATCTGAATCGGTTCAAACAGAGTTTCCAGTCGTGGGCGGATGGCCCACCCTCAGTTTTTTTAAAAAAAATATTAATCTGTAAAATTTCTAAATTTTGGCCCACCCTAACATGAATATTAATGGATAAAAATATTAATTTTTAATTATTTTTTATTTTGTCTCACTTTAACAGAAATTTTTTGATTTGCTTCTATTTTCAGTAGTGTAATGAGTACTGAGAAATATACATCTTCGTGTATATTCAAGTTAGCTTTCGAAAGGTAAGGGATTATTATAAAAACAAAACATGTCAATGGGTGAAACTAGTGAAATAGGAAATATGTTATTGGTAGTAGTTCAAAGTTTTAGAGGGTGTGAATGACTGTTGGGCATCTTTGAAAGTTTAAAGCCTACCTACCTGAAACAAAAACTTGTACGAAACATTTGATTTTCTCATGTTGGATCTCCTAGCTAGTTTAAAATTTAATTTTACTAGGCTAAGTAATATTTGTCTAATAATTAGAGAGTGAAAAAAAAAAAAAAAAATGAGAGAGAATTTTTATAATGAAAACAAAGAAGAATAGACTAGTGAGTAGAGAAAAGGAAAAATAAAGACAAGTAGGGTTTAAAAATTGGCTCCACAACCCACTTCTAAATATGGTAGGTCACAATATGTCTAGCTTTTGGGACATTGTTATCGTGATTAGACTTCTCTTACCACCCAAATGGGACTCAACTTCTCCACGACCACTCAATAACGAAAGATAAGGCGTTACTTGGGTTGCCCTAACTTAATCTCAAATTACCAAAATCTTTGGATTAACCAAAAAGAAATTATTTGTTTTGCATCCAGGTTGTATGGGTTTGTTTTTGGATTTCACACAAGCATCATTTACCTATTACATGTTAATTAGTTATAAGAACGCAAAACTTATAAACTGAACCTCACACTAGTGATATAGGATGTTACTTTTTTATTTTTTTTAAGTTTATGAGCTTGAAATATGATTAATAATATAAAAATTTTCAATTCCCAAAACATTAGAATCCTAGGTATTAGATCATATATTTATTATTATAAATACATGTTTCACTCTTATGAGATTATAAATGAGGTTGATTTAAGAATTAAGACTAGAAGTGTTGTATAATGATAATAATACCTGAAAAAATGGCAGAAAGGACACCTTACATCAAGGAGTTGGAATAGTTATATAATCTTTAGTAAAATAAAATAACAATAATTTAAGGTTACTGAGCCAAATCCCAAAATTTCATGGCATTAAAGCACCACATGACATGCATAGAACTTCCAATAAATACTCTTTTACATTAATATGTGTGCTTTGTTTACAATAAGTTCATATAAAAAACGTTAATGAATGGGTTACAAATATTATATTTATATATTGTGTTAAAATTCCTTTGTTATTATATTATTTTTAGTTGTTAATTAAATATTTATTAAGTATAAGTTTTTAACTTTTTTTATCCATTAAAAAAAAGGAGAGAATCATTAATTGGGTATTGATTTGGAAGACGAATCTTATAATTTCGATGAGGAGAATCATGTACTTTGCTCCTTTAATTTTGTAAGATTGTTGGCAAAAAGAGAAATCATATATTTTGGCAGAAGACAAAGCGTGGCTCAATGCTTAAACCACGCTACACAATTCCATAATTTCTGTTCATAATCTCTAATTTCCATTTTATCTTCTTTAATTGCACTTCATTTTAATTGGTTCACTCGTCACTAAACTAAACTAAATTAATAAATAATATATATATATGTCAATTTTTGACTTAAAAAAATCTGCCCTATTTAGAAGTTTTCTTTGACTCAAATATTTATGCCTCCTGGAGTGGCATTATCAGCGGAGTGATTGATTGTAATACAAACAATCACAAAGAGAGTCCCTTCCTCCGTTGATTATGTTCTTAATAAAATCCATTTTATTTTAATTAATATTTACCCAGTTGGTTTTGAGTTAATATTAAAGAAAATTGAATTCCCTTTAATTAGAAAGAATCCATAATTAAGGAAACTGGACATGTTCGAGTAGAGACATTAAATTAGTATTCTCTGTGTGGGAAAATAATTTAAGCTAATTAAGGTTTAAACTGGCAATTCATAATTGCTAATTAACTCTGCATTATTTATCTTTGTTTAATGTAAAATATAAACTTTTCTAGTGAATTCAGCTAAACCAATACCTTCTCGACATGTAATACTACCTGAACCAACATTTCTCTGACATTAATGGGGATTAAAATTGTAAATATTTTATTTTATCTAAACAAAAAAAAGGAAGAAAGCAAAAGAAGAATAGTAATAGGGTTGGTAAAGATTTTGAGTGTATTATTCATAAGGGTGATTGACTGGTAGGGACATAGTCACACTACAATATTTGTGTTCAATTGAACCCACTCAAACTTTAAAAAAAAAAAACTTCATATTTTATAGTATTTATAATTTTAATCTCATCTAAATTTATATTTAACTTATTCAAGCTTTGAAAAAAAAAATTTATATTTTATAATATTTATGATTTTGATCCCACTTAAATATATATTGACCTTACAGAATTTTATTATAAATTTATAAATTTAAATGTTTTGAACCCACTCCTTAAAAATTCTGGTTACGTCCCTGTCGATTAGTTCGATTGAGACTATTAAGTGTATTATTAATAAAGATAGTCATTAGAGTTTTTATTTGATCGATTATTCTAAGATACCAACAGATTAGTTGAGATGTATGCATGTACAGACCCTGTCATTTAAAACAAAAAAATGAGAAAGAGAATAGTAATAGGTTGTGTTTTGGTAAAATGATTCTTGCCGTAATTTCACGTGTTGATCACATGCCATCTTCTTTTTTTGTTTTTAGCTTTTGGGTGTAAGCAGTTAATGTCACAGCCCTGAAACTGAAAGTGAAAGATTCTTCTTTGCCTTTCCTTTTTACAGGGCCACCTCTTGTTTTTACTGTGGTTAAATTCTATATCTTCACTTTCATCTCATTATTAGATTAATCATATGATATGGACATCATCACATTATTACTCTGTGAGATCTTTAATGTAGAATTACAGATTCTTTCAACTATTAATTAAATTTGATATTTCAATTAGCCCTTGTCAAACCGGTTTAGATAGAATTAATTGCATTTTTCCCCCTAGGGTTTTTGGTCAATCATCTACTTTTTAAAGTAACGTTACATTTACATCACTCTTTTACATCATTTTCATTACATCGTGATGTGACATATATTACAATCACATAAATTTTTAATTATTTAAATTATTTAATATTATAATAAAATTTATATAATTATAGTATATGTCACGTATGTTTACAAAATAGTGTAAGTGTAATATTACTCTTACTTTTTATTATTTCACATCCCATGAAACTGATTGGAACTTATAAAATTCGTTAATTAAAATTAAAATGACAAAAAAAATTAAAATAGTAATGTTAAATATTTATATAGTAATTTTAGGCAGCGGTTTCAAATATTCTATGAAAATGAAATCCACCCGTCAAATTTGAAACCCTATTGTACGATTAATTATATAATTATCTGTCAAATGTTTTTTATAAAGTAATAATTTTAGTGTAAAAAAATTACTGGATTAAAACGATTAGAAATTGGGTGTTAATTATAACGAATTGGAGTGGACGGTATCAGGTAGAAAAAATGAAATTCAATTTAGGACTACCGAATCCAACAGAAAAAAAAAAAAATCGGTTGGAATCGATGAACATCCCTAATTTCAGGGCGTTCAATATGAGGCTGCCAACTGTGTAGTGAAAGGAAGGAGGACAGTAACAGTTGAAGGTGGAAGAAGAACAGTTAAAAGCAGGAAAAAAATAAAAATAAAATAAAATTGTTACTAAAAAAACAGAAGGGAGAGAGTAATTAAAAATCTAAATAGGACCAAAACTGACTATAAATGGACCTCTGTTCTTCTCTCTCTCTTTCTCTGTGTAATTGTTATCACTCTTTTTCTTCTATTTCTCACAACCCACCACCATTTTTCTTTTCTCTCATTCTCTCTCCATTATGACTCAATACTTCTTCTTTGTCTCCGCTTCATTGTGATATAAAAAGATACAGAAGATTTTTTATCATCTCCCTGTTCTTACCTTAACGGGGTAAAGGAGAGAGAATAGAGAAAACAAGTAAAGCTTCCATTTCAGTCTGAGTTTTTCATGTTAACAACTACATTGTCAAAAATTTAAACCCAAAATACATTCCTTTGTTTTCTTTACCAACATTATTAGTTTTTAATCTTTTCCTCTGTTTTTTTCGTTTTTCTCTGTTTTGACTTCAAAGAAATGGCTGAAATTTCACCGAAATTTTTTATACCGGAGGCACTTCAGGTATCAAGAGAAGATATTGCAGGCCAAATTGGGTTGATATGGGAACTAATCAAATCGCCATTGATTGTACCCTTGTTGCAACTTGCTGTTTACATATGTTTAGTCATGTCACTCATGCTTTTCATGGAAAGACTTTACATGGGTATTGTTATAATTCTCGTTAAGCTTTTCTGGAAAAAACCAGAAAAGCGTTACAATTGGGAAGCCATTCAAGATGATGAAGAGTTGGGTAGCACAAATTTCCCTGTTGTTCTTGTTCAAATCCCAATGTTCAACGAAAGGGAGGTATGTTTAATGTTTCTGTTGTTATTATTTCATCAATCATGTATAATATTTCTGGGTTTTTGAGAAAGGCCTAATGGAAGTTTCTTCATTGATGTTTGTAACAGGTTTACAAAGTGTCCATTGGAGCCGCCTGTGGACTTTCTTGGCCGTCCGATCGTCTCGTGATCCAAGTCCTTGATGATTCAACTGACGCTACCATTAAGGTGAAACTCCAATTTTACCAAAACCAATCAATCAATCCACTTTTTTTACAGCCCCACAATGTGCTTTTTTGTTTATTTCATTCCATTTTAGGCATTCACAATATAGGTTAAACAATTCTGCATTTACAGCTATATATTGCAGCTCATTTAAAGCCATTAAATTCCTGTCATTTTCGGAACCGTTCACATAACTAAAACTCTTACAGGAAATGGTGGAGCAAGAATGTATACGATGGGCAAATAAAGGCATAAACATTAGGTACCAAATTCGGGAAACTCGTGGAGGATACAAAGCCGGTGCTCTTAAAGAAGGTCTCAAACGAAGCTACGTTAAACACTGTGAATTCGTAGTCATTTTCGACGCCGATTTTCGGCCGGAGCCGGACTTTCTCCGACGGGCCATTCCGTTTCTAGTCCATAATCCCGACATTGCTCTTGTTCAAGCTCGTTGGAGATTTGGTAAGTTTATTTATTTTTATATATCTGCTAATTAATTGTTTTACCATTAATTACGCTCATTAAATGGCCTCATTATAGAGGGCTAAATTTATAAAAGTGTCGGTGGTTTTTTTTTTTTGGGGGGTATTTCTTAAAAAAAATTAAAAAAATATTTTTTGTAATTGGTTCGGTTTTTCGTCGGCGGATTTGGTTGCAAACTGCTTGGAGTGAGATGGGGTCCAGTTGAAACCCAGCAATCACGCTGTGGGGGACCATCGGGTTATCCATCATGATTTTGACACTTGGACGTTTCCTGACCGTTTTCTCAATTGATGAGACTTACCTCATAAAAGAAGAAAAAGAAAAGTATAGGAAAATACCTACTCTAGCAAATCCCACTACTTAGTCCTAAGATTTTAATATTAATTATGGATACGAACAATATCTTAATCTAAATTCAGTACTAAATCCCAAATCCTAGTTTTGTTCCTAATTAATTTTTATTTTCTTTCCATCAATAAATAATTCCTGCCTTATTTATACGAAACTTATATGATATTTATATATTAATAAAGATACATTTGCCTTATTTATACGAAACGTATGATATTTAGGACGTAACCTTTAGTGTGAGAGTGAGTGCCCAAGTCTTAGAGATAAGGGTATATTTGTCTTTTTGTAAGCAAAACAAGGATTGTAGTCTTTTGTTACTATATCAAGGTTTGAGCCAACCGGATTGTACGGATCATAAGGTCAACAATTGAGGTGCAATTTATGGAAATAGGCAGCATTTAAATATGGAAGGGTAAAATTGTCAATTCAATTTTTTCTTCAGGTTTTAAATGTGGGACACGTGTAAAGAATTATAAAAAGTAAAATAAGGGGCAGTAGGAAGCTGTGGATGGGGGGGGACCTACTAAACTTACCGACCGACACTTGATATTTGGATGTATATGGATATAAATGGAATAAAACATTTAAAGAAATGAAATTCAGTTACATTGAATCTCCCTAGTGTTTCCCATGACGTGGCACATTTTTATCTGTGTCAAGTGATGACACATGAAAATTAAGTAATTTATTACTTTGACATTAAATACTTTTGACATTTGTTAAAACATGGTTGTTATTAGTATAATTAACTCAGTAATTGTGATTTATTGCAGTAAATGCTGATGAATGCTTGTTGACAAGAATGCAAGAGATGTCATTGGATTACCATTTTACAGTGGAGCAAGAAGTGGGTTCTGCAACTCACGCTTTCTTCGGTTTCAATGGTAAATAACCCAATTAAAGCTGTTTTAATTTAAATTAAATGGTTTCTCAAATACAGTATTCAAATTAATTACTGAAATTGATTGTAACAAATGTGCAGGAACGGCTGGTGTATGGAGAATTGCTGCAATTAACGAGGCAGGTGGATGGAAGGACAGAACGACTGTGGAGGATATGGACCTTGCAGTTCGATCTAGTCTTAAGGGTTGGAAATTTGTTTACCTTGGTGATTTACAGGTAAAAATATTTTTTTTATCTACCTTAGTTATTGTTAATTACACCTGGGATTTTATTTTATTTTAATTCGCCATTCTCGTTGTATGTATGATAGGTGAAAAGTGAACTTCCTAGTACATTTAAAGCCTTCCGATTCCAGCAGCACCGTTGGTCTTGTGGTCCTGCTAATTTGTTCAGGAAAATGGTGATGGAGATTGTTAGAAACAAGGTTTGTTACTTGGAGATATGTATAAATATGGTTATTTTGGATGATAGTTGTATTATGTTTCCTCTAATTTCATTTGGAAATTGTTGCAGAAAGTTAGATTCTGGAAGAAAGTATATGTTATCTACAGTTTCTTCTTCGTCCGAAAGATTATTGCTCATATGGTCACTTTTTTTTTTTACTGTGTGGTGCTTCCTCTTACCATTTTGGTTCCTGAAGTTGAAGTTCCAATTTGGGGTGCTGTTTACATTCCTTCCATTATCACAATTCTAAATTCAGTTGGAACTCCAAGGTCTTGTATACTAAACAATGGTTATTCTATTTTATCATATTCTATTACACAATGTGTTGTATTAACGAACAACCTTATTATCTTCCTTAATCGTGCAGATCAATTCACCTGTTGTTTTACTGGATTCTTTTCGAGAATGTGATGTCTTTGCATCGAACTAAGGCCACATTAATTGGTCTACTTGAAGCTGGAAGGGCTAATGAATGGGTTGTCACAGAAAAACTGGGAGATACCCTCAAGAATAAGGCAGCTGAAGCCAAGAACAAAACAAACACCAAAATCTTCAAAAGACCTCGATTCAAAATTGCAGATAGGTAAGTCTTCGTTTTTACACTCTTAATTTCATTAGTATAACAATTAGGGTTCATAAATTTAAGTTGTGCACAATTGAAAAATAGCTACTCAACCAATTCCTCAATGTTATATTGTTTGTCATAATGGGGACTTGGGAATATGACCAAATCCCATAACCATAGTAATTGAAAATCTTTATAAATCAGCGTATTAAAATATTCAACACAACAAAAAGCCGAAGACTATGGTGTCAATGGCAGAAAGATAAGGTTGATGGCCAATTAACTTATGACAGAGGACTTGTTTAGGAACTTAAAACGTTTTGTTTAGAGAATTGAGAATAAATAAGGGTTTAGAGAGTGGTTTGGCTAACCTGCATTTTCTTTATTGTTATTTAACAGATTAAACACTCTGGAGCTTGGATTCGCATCTTTCCTCTTCTTCTGTGGATGCTATGATTATGTCCATGGGAAGAACCGTTACTATATATACCTTTTCCTCCAAACCATTACCTTCCTCATCACAGGATTAGGCTATGTTGGCACAATCGTCTAGCAGCCGTATTTCCCAATAAGTTTCATATCTATACTGGCACAAGCCTCTTCATGTTTTTCATGCCATATCCGTGTGTTTGTTTTTTTTTACTCTCTACAACCAAATATCTATATAAGTGTCGTTCTGTGAACAACATTGATTACAAGTATTACATTCAAGTTCATTCAAACCAAAAGAAAAGGTCATTCAATATGCAATGGCACACAAAGATCATTGCCATGCCTTCCTCAAAAAAGAAAAAAACGAAAAACAAAAAACAAAAATTCAAGTTAGTTCTCATCAGTGAATGAAGAAATTAGAGAAGAAATGCTGTCACTAATTCAACTCATTGTGTTGACTGTAACAGCAGATGGTTTAGACAACAGGGAGACAACAATTGTTATTTTTATTTGATTAGATTGCTTTTCAATGTAGGAGTTTGTCATTTCTCTCTCCTTTTTTTTTTTTTTTTTGGGACAATTAGTTATGGATAAAAGCGTGAAGTTGTAGTCCAATTTAATTTATCAATATTGATTTTTCATTTTTTTTCCTTTCTCTGGATTGTACTGTTTCTTTGGATAAACAAACTTGAATGAGATAAGAGTTTGCAGGCTGTCAATGCTTTGCTTCCTTTGTGGTCCCTTTTACTGAACCCAACACTTCTGTAATTTTCTTTTCAAGATTTCAACTGCTCTGGTCTTCCAAAATATTAAATAACTTTGCCCACAAAAATTATTTGTTTCTGCAATAAATGGAGTGTTCCCCAATTATTCAAGTATGCCATTTTGTAAAGGATAACAATATTATTTATAAAGAACAATCACCCATTTACAGTTTCTCAATGTTATAATTTCATCAGGAATTTCTGGGCACAATCCCTCATTAGCAAGACCATTAACACATAAATCATAATTAATGTTGCTGATAAACAAGCACTATCCCTCATCCTTCACAATCTTTAAACTCGAAATGGTTTTGAAATTAGACAAAGGGGAACATCTTCATGTTTACTTTTCATGCCTTGTCCCAATCATTTACAGCCAGTTACATATATAAACTGCTTTTCTGTCATTGCAAAGGTAATTAATATATGTTTTATATTTTAGAATAATTAAATAACGTAACTTCCTAAAGATTACTCTTGAATGATAGTTTCTTCCAGTTGAAGTGTCATTATCTATCTATCTATCTTTTTTTTATTTTATTTTTTATCTTAACCAATGAAACAGAAAGGGAATATTGTCCAATGGGGATGCATTAATGATATAAATACATTTAATAAAGAGTAATAATGTTTCTTTGAGTGTTTTGAGAAGGCCAACAAGGGTTCCTATTATTTAATTTGGAACGACTTGAAAGAAGTTGCATTAAAATATGTTAATTATATTTTAATATTATGTTCAAGTAAAGATACGGAAACTTCCAAATTAAGTTTGGGTAGATATAGGAAAGGAAGAAAGTGGCTTAAACAATGTGCTCAGAGCAGTAACTGATATGAATATATAATCAGCCTTTTGTGCCTTGTTTGGTTATATTATACCTCAATAGCTGAATCCCTTTTAGTTACTTTTCTTTTTTCTTTATCTTTTTCTTCTTAAAGCCACCACATCTCATATCCCTTGCGTTGAAACTCAGGTGAAAATGAATTGCTTTGTTTACTGCAATAATACCATCAAAAAGTTTAATGTTCATCAGTATATGTAGCATTCCAAGATATTTTTAGCATTGAGTTTGCCCTATTTTTATATCTACTTTATTAGCCATTCTTGCACATTAAGGTTATGGGGCATAATGAGAGGCTGTGACTGTGACTAGTGTCAGCTTCTCTTGGAGACAAAAATATAAATCCTACAAGGTGGCATTTTAAATGCAGCAACCAACATTGCTAGCTTTCTTCCATGTATTAATGCATCTTTTCAATTCTATAGTGGAAAAAAATTCTAAGCATGATTAAGACCAGCAGTGACCGCCACTCTTCAAACAACTATAGCAATTAAATACCCCAATAGCCCAAGAAAGCACCACTTTGATGTGTCCATTGAAGGAAAATATTGACTGACAAGAACACTTAAAAAAGGATGTGAGTTGCTTCATTTGATTTTTTTATAATTTTTGAGTAATCTGCTGATTTATTTAACCCTTTCCTTTGGGTTTACTTAACTTACATAACACTACAATTAAAGTTTAAAGACATCATCGATCCCCATTAAAGATGATGAGTATCCAAGGTTGCTTGATTGTTGAATTAATGTTGAAATATATTTATAAAGAAAGGGTAGTGGATGTTTCTGCAAAACTTGGTCCACAATCCTTCTCACAAAGTCAGAACCGACACAGCAAAATACTGCCAGCCCACATGCAATGTGGTCTTCTAGGAGGTTTGCTCATATATTACACCACATGAAATATCATCAGTTTCATGTATTTTTCATTAATATTATTGTCACTTCTACGTTTCTCCTGCGGACCTTTTTTGTTCAGTACAAAGAAGAATTTATTATTTCTTCATCAAAATCTGGGAAAGTTTTGCCTGGACTTTGGTTCCTTTCTTTTAACTTCACAAGTTGAGCGATTTCGGGAATTTGGTCTAAAAACTTTAACTAATAAATAATTATCTGCCAATATGTGGAATTTAGGTAAGAGTTAATAGTGTTTGGTTGAAGAAAAAGTAAAAGGAAAATGAAAGAAAATTGAAGAAACACAATGAGAAAATGTTATTTCTATTAATAGACTTTTCCCGCCCAAATAATGGCCTAATGACACTTTCTCACCCAAAAAGTTTCAAAATACAATTTTACTACCTAAGGCAAATCTCTGTTAGCAAATTTCGTTATGAAGAAGGGTAGGATGGTTAAAAGTTTATTATAAGTAAGGGCAGGATGGCCAATTGACATTTTGCATCAAAAATCAAAGTTTAAAATTCCAAACAGCGAACGGCGAAGGAGGGTGACAATTCACGACCGACGAATGACGAGTAACCAAGTACTGAGGTTTGAGAGATTTTGAAGAGGGGAGGTCGGAATCAGGCAAAATCGGCGCAAAAACAGTGAAAACCTAACTTGTGGCAACCGGCAAACGATGGGCAGGTGAATAGGTGCACGGTTTGCTCTCAGGCGGTTCCGCGTTGGCACTGGCACTGGGCACGTAGGTTGGGTATGTGTGCAGGCACATATGGGGGGCCATTCGTTGGGATATTTCTTTGAACAATTGGTATGCCACCTTTTGAAAATGCACTAATGATGCAACTGGGATGATTGACGACTTGAAAAAAAAAACACAAATTGCGGCAACACAACACAACATCAATCAATTCCAATAATCAAGCTCTGATTAAGACTAATTTTATCAAATTAGCAAAACCAATTCATCATTCAACCAAAAACCCTAGGGAGATGGAGGGGGCAAACAGTGGCTAACAGAGGTCAGGAATGAGAGGTGTTTTAAAGAGGGTGAGCCGATCGTGCAATTGGCGACAACGGGAGGAATTTATGGTGACAGAATTGATCGGAATAGCTAAAGGCACACCAAATCAGATGGGCAATGGGGACGGCGAACGATGAGCTAAACGGGTGTGTGGTGGGAAGGGTTTTGTAAAGGAAGATGGTGGTGAAAGGGGGGGTTGGCAACGCCGAAAACCTGCCTTTTTGGCTTTGGTCGGCAGTTGCAAAAAATGGGGGTTTGATCGGTAAAATTGGCGTAAATCCAACGAGAATGATATTTTCATCTTCACAATGAATATCATTATATTTAACGAAAATTATTAATGAAATATATCGTTTGGGTAGTAAAGTTGCATTTTGAAACTTTTTGGGTAGAAAATTGTCATTAGACTATTATTTGAATGGGAAAAAGTCATTTACTCTTTCTATTAATTATTCTCTAACGAAGTTACAATTTCAATTTACTCCTCTATTTAGAGCAATGTTATGCTTATAATACAGTCATACAAATACACAGAAAATAAAAAATAAAATAGTTATTTTACATAAATTTTGTACAATTTTTAACAGTTGGTATGAAACAAAATATTATTACTCTATTTATTGGCATTTCATCTTTGAGGAAAAAATATCGTGGAATTATTTGCAATTACTATAATGTCCCTTCTGACACTTTATGTCTTCTTTTCAGCTTAAAAGTGTGTCATGTCCCCTCCTTTTTTGTCATTTCTATCCTCTACTGCTTACCTAATAATTTCTCTCTTGCTTCTTTTATTCTCGGAAGGAATTATACGTATAAAACATAAATAAAAATATAAACGAAATAAGAAAATATATACCTTCTGATTGATACACAGAGGAATTATTAGAAGCTGAATTAAGAATGGTTAGTTGAGAGGTCTTCTCAAACATGTGTCTTTTGCTAAGCCTTTGGAAGCATCCTTGTCTTGTATAATTTATTTACTTAGACACGTCAAAATCTTCTCTCTCTCACTGCCCATACTTTTGGAGCCAAAGGTCCCATACTTCTGCAAGTCTGCAACACCGGTACACCTCTGTTTTTTTTTCTGTAATATTCCAAAGATTCGTGCTTCTATTGAAAACCCCACATGCAAAAACTAATGTTGCCAATTTTTCCAATGTGAAACCGACTACTTACCCTAAACCAATGGTTATACTTATAAGCAATCTTTTCTTTCCTCAATAATTTTGGGTAACTTCATTAAATTATGTATATAAGGTGGATGGGATGGGTACATTAAATCTTCAATTTATCACATTTTAACTATCATTAGCGGTTGAACAGTCAACTAAGACTTTTGGGTTACTCAAGATGTATTGAGTTCGATCTATTTCTGCTGTTAATAGGGATGATCATTGGAGGTTTACCCGATTATTAATTTTAGGATCCTGAAAGATTAGTTAAGGTGTGTGCAAGCTGGCTCAAACAATCTCAGTCATCTAAATTTTTTTTTTTGTCACATTTTAGTGTTATTAGGGTAGTAGATGAGGCTTGTGATTAATATTTGTTTTCCTTTGGTTTGAGAACGGGTTATCGGATTCACCTCTTCATTGAAGGCCCATAATTTGTCCCTCCACTAGGCCCTCCTCCAAGGCCCGAGCCTGGGACCAATCCCAGGCCTGGGCCCAAATTTTTTTACATATTTTTGTTTTAGTCCCTCGTATAATTACATAAAACCCCTTAAAAAATTTGAAATAAACATAAATTATAAAGGTTAAAAAATTTTTTTACAAAATTTATTAAAAAAAAAAAAATTTCCTGGCCCTAAAAAATGTATAAATTTTACTCCTGAAAAATACTAAA